ACCTGGACTTGGGAATCTCATATTAGACCTATATGCTATGTCACAAAATTTTTATGTAAATACAATATTAAATTTTAAAAAATTATATGTGATATTATTATGAGTGCTTATTATATACTAGCAAATTCCAGGAATTGTGAGTACTTTTCATTCATTAATTCATTTGATTATCATACAATTTTATTACATTCATGTTAGAGATGAGGAAACAAAGGCATAGAGAACTTTAAGTGAAAAATCAGGGGTATTGGAATCTGATAGTCCTGTCTTCCCCCAGGTTCATCATCTATAAAGTGAGGTTATCAACACCCTTCACACCAGATTTTCATCAGGACTAAATGTGAAAACTTTGAGCTCTGGTTTGTCCCTGATCATATGATTTTGATGGTGCAGTTGGGATGATTGCCTGGGACTTCTGCACACTCATCTACATGCTTTTACACAAAGTTGGATATTTTTACCAAATGACTTTTAGACTTTTGAAAGACTGACTTTTAACTCAAGGACAGCATTACGTGAATAGGGCAAACCAGCAAACATCCTTAGATCTGATTTATAGGGAACAGAAACATCCCTTTCTGTTCCCTATAAATCTCAAAGTCATCAAAACTCCATTTCAACAAAATTGTAAATGACCTGTCTTTTAGCCTCCCCACTTTGGCCCACTACCTTTTATGGGGAATAATCCATTCACATGGTCCTATGATTGTCTTATTTATTCTGGCCTACACAATAATATATTGTGTTAATCGGGTACTTCAAGGCAAAGAACACATTTGGTATGTAGAATTTATCCTAGCATAGTATAAAGCAGTGTATTAGAGGGCAAGGGACCACAGCTTTCTTCCCACAGGGCCAGTCAGTGTTACGTGACCTTAGGGAAGTCAATTTGCCTCTAAATCTTTCTACAAAAATTAAGAGCTTCATTTTGCCACTATGATCTATGATCTGACTCTGTGGCTTAGTAATTATTTAGCTTTAGACCTTCTCCAGAACACAGTTATTGGATGTACATGGCAGAGTTCAAGGGTCCTAAATTCATTTAGAAAGAAGAGGCATGCTTGGAAAGGTGAATTTATTCCTCTTCGCGTAGTAAGCATGTCCACTGGCAAACCCTTTCTGGCTCAGAGCGTATTAAGTTACTGGGCTGGAACAGGGAAAGCAGACTCTTTTGCATCTTAATTATTTGTTCCTTTTGAAGTCCTACTAGTACCAATTTGATAGAAATAGAAACTGTGGATCAAAGCTGTAGAGACTATCATCCTTATGAGCAGGACATGAGCTCATTTCTAAAGAAACAGACCTACGCTTTCCCACCATAATAACTTCTATAGTGCAGAGTTTTCAAGCAAAATACATGGGTTGTAATTTTCACTGAAATCATTTTTGTGTGTGCGTATATATTCTTATATTTTTTAGATTGAAAATCTAAAAAAGCAGAGGCGCACAGTGGAGAAAACACTGGGATCATACTGACAAACTATTTTGTGATATACCTTTATCACTTAAAATGCATTCTAATATATGTAGGTATTCCCTCTCCAGGAGGTGGACTTTTAACACTTTTCTATCATCTTGAGAGTGGCCTAGACTTAGTGGCTCACTTGTAAAGACTAAAAAGAGAAAGAATAAAAAAGAGTAGCTTTGCAGTAAAACACCCTAGAAAACACTGCATCAATCAAATAGGTTAACATAGCCAGTAATGTTCTGTATGAAGTATCTCTGATAGGATGTAATCCTCACCTCTGTGATCTTTCTCCAATGTACAAAACCACAGTCTTAACATGAGAAAAGCATCAGACAAATCCAGACTGGGTGACATTCCATGGAATATCTATTCTGAGATCTTCAAATTATCAAGTTATAAAAAATGATCAAATCAGAGAGAAAGGGGAGAGAAGAAAAATAAATGCAATGGCGTATGTTGAGTTAAATTGTCCAGCAGTGTGAGGAAAACTGATGAAATGTGAATAACATATGGAATCTAGTTAGTTGCAATGTAATAATGTTGGCTTCTGAGCTTTGACAACTATACTATAATAACATAAGGAGCAAAGGCAAGGAACTCAGTGAAGAATGTCTGGGAATTCTTTACAAATTTTCAATAAATCTAAAATTATTCTGAAGTTAAAAAACCAATATATATAAAAACATGTGCCATAGAATTATTCTCCTACTACCTGATTGTTAATGGTATATAGTATTCCATAGCAGTTATCAAATGTGATCATACCTAACACAGAGCTTGGCAGATAGTAAGTACTCATCAAAAGTTAGATTTGTTTGTATTGCTGTTGTTATTTTTAATCAGTATTACATTATAACTATTAAGAAATTTCCTTCCCAGTGTCCTCACACATGCCATTTCTTATTTTTTTCTTTATGCATGAAACAGTTTTGAGATTTATTGCTTTAGATTTATTGCTCAATTTAATGGTGGGAAAAAAGAGCAGATCATTATTGCTCTTCTTGTTTCTTTCCAGTGTCATCCTAGCGGCTGTTTGATAGACCTCTGCCTCCAGATGGGTGTTATCATGTTTTTGAAGCAAATATGGAACAACTTCATGGAGTTGGGATACCCGTGAGCATGCTTTAACCTTGCTTTATATATAGTTATGAAGGAGAGAGATGGCAACTAGTGCTTAAGCATTCAGGATGGGTGACAGACAAAGGAGCTTTATTTCCCTTTCAGCTCCCTACTAAATGCATGATGCTGTAAAAGTAAATAAGCATTTCTGACCCTCCAATTTCACCTTTCTATGATGAGATCACCATCATGAGTTACCTGTCCCTTAAGAACAGCTACAAGGATGAAGGAAATATTGATGTAGAGTAACTAGTTCAGCATGGTAAGGCACCTGTTGCTATTTTTGAGATTTTTTGCATTACATGTTCTTGAAGATAAAAAATCATTTTTTCTGGTTTCTTTGGACTACTAGCAGACCAATAATCGTTGTTACTCCCAGGGGAATAATGGGCTGCATGATTTTATATTTGGCACTCTTTATAACTCCTCCTTGCCCCTCAAAAATGATTTGAACAGAACTGATTATGATAGCATCAAATAATAGCATTCTAAACTTGTCCTTTTAGTTAAGTTTTAATGGTGAAATGGTGACAGAGATGTTAGATGTCCACTTTTATACATATTAAAATATTATTTCCATCAATATACCATTAAATGCAAGACATTTAAAACAATGTGATGGTGGAGCTTTGAGACCTAATCAGCCAAAGATTAAAATGACTATTTTGAGTACTTTCTGACTGTGGGTGAAGAACTGATTAGTCAGTGAAGCATATATGTGGCTTAGGCTTGATTGAATTTAATTTTGAGTAAATTAAAATTGAGTAAATTAAATTTACTTAGATTACTTTTCCCTCATGGCCCTACAAATTATATTAGAGCATTCCTGAGCAGAGATCTGAGGGTTGGAGAAATGATATACACCCTGAAGTTTGCCATATAGCATTGGTTAAATTACAACAGTCCTAGAGCATAGACCTAGAGTTGCCCAGGCCTTGTTCTAATTTCTTCTCTGGTCTTTACTAATTTCACTTAAAATTCATTTCACTTTGAGACTATTTTTTCATTTTTAAAACTTATGAAGACTAAATGAGTTGACCCAATGGATTTTCAACCTTAATTGTAAGGTATAGGACTCTTTCATGAAGAGATTTTTATAGAGATCCTCAAAATTCAAAACAGATTAAAGCAAATCTCTTCTAAATGAAGAGAGAATCAGGGATGGAGGATTGGGGATCCCAGTCTGTTTGTCTTGTCCCTTCCTGTCCTTGATTCACCACATGGAAACATAGGATTTGGGAAGCATCATGTGAGAGGACCTGAGAGAACTTGTGTAGCTCAGGATCTGGCGTGTTGTGAGTATTGCATAAGCACCATCAGGACAGCATAATAGTTAGTCTGATATCAGGATAATTGTGCCATCATGATGGATGGAGTGCCGTGCATACCATGCTCTTTGGAAGCACTTGTCATTCTGGACTTGTTGCAGGGGTCAGCCTGGATCACATATATCAAGTATTGAGGGCACCAGAGCAGGGGACATCTGGCTGGTGTTTTTCAACACCCTAGGCAAAGGCCTTACTGAAGAAAACTTAGCAGGAGTGAATCAGCCATCAAGTTGTAGTTTACAAAGCTTTTAACCACAATTCTCTGTTTTCAAATAAAATTTTAAGCAAAACCCAAATAAATAAAATAGAAACAATCAGGTGTGCCTCAGTTCCATCCTCCAGCCTCTAAGAAAAAGCTCTAAGAAGAAACTCTATGTGACATTTGTTGGAGCACGGCCTGATGTTTTAACCTAACCATGGTTACATGAAGCTTAGGTCCATGATTAATTGAAATCGAGCATCTAGTACTGTTTACTCACTTCTGTGAGATTCATCTCATCCTGGAGGTAGTTTTTGCCACATTCTTAATTCATTACCCAGGAATCCATAATATATGCAGACCAGGATATTTTGAGCCACATAATTTTAAGACCACTCCTGGCCTAGAGAAAGAGCATTGTCATTTCATTTCCATGACTAAAAACTGGCCTCATGTACACAGATCCACTTCCTGACAATTATTCTTCACTAGAATAGCAGAATATAATCACTCATATGCTCAAATTTTTCATGTTTACAAACTCAAGGAGGAGAAGTGATTTGATACAAATCACATCTAATGTACTGCATGTTGGGGGCTACAATCTAGGTCCCCTGAAGCCCTATCTATGGCTCACTTACTTTTCATGGAGCATAATTTTATTCATATACAGAGAACAGAGTCCAGAAAATGTTGCATAATGAGCAATGAAGTTCTCAGACCTAATCATGACAGGTACTGTAGAAGTTTAAGTACTATAAAAATGTGTAAGTGTAGGTGGAAAAAAGAATCATAGAAATGGATGCTTGTCTAATCAATATCAAGGACCATCTTTGTGTATAGGTAATGGATTCCTAATAGATATGTAGATGTTTATAGTCTATATCTAGGAGAGTTCTGAAAGGATAGGGTCTGTTCTCCCATTCTAAACCATTTTAGGGTTGTTAAGATTTACAAAAAAATTTAAAAGCTATTTGTTGGAATTAGAGAATTAATTTTTTTAACATTTTAAAATTTGAGATCATCAGTTCTCAGAAATGCTTAATGTATCCCAAGAGTATATCTCATTTCTTAATAAACGATGATTGTGCATCAGAGCTGAAATGAGAACTCAGAATGCTTTGGTCTTCTCTGTGGTGTAGGCTGATCCAGAACTGGTGGTCACGACATAAAATCAAGAGGGGAATACAGGATGCCTCTATACCTCAGTGGGAAAATGACTGGAATCTGCAGCCCATGAACATACATGGCCTGATGGATGAATACTTAGAAATGGGTAAGGAAAGAATATTCTGCAGAACCTTCTTGATATTGGTTTTCCAAGCCACATGGGCTTTGGTTCAAGAGAAGAAAACATGTGTCTCCTTTCCAGCCCCAAGCATTCTAAACCACATCTGCATCTTTATCTCAGCAGAG